CTCATTGGACCCATTGGTCTGCTCAAGTGTGTGTGTGTGTGTGTGTGTGTGTGTTGGTTGGTTTGTCTGCGTTGGGGTAGGTTTGGCTAATGGCCAAGGCGTGCATCTAACCCTCAACCCTAAGTCCACGTTTCATGTTTCACGTGTGCGACAGCCTTGTGTTTGCCGTGTTGCTTCAGGCCTCTGCTTGAGTGTTCGAGGTGATTTGGACAGGTCTTAGTCGAGCCGATTTTGAATCTCGCACCCGCCCGCCCCAGATTGGGAAGTGGGCCGCGGTAACCTGGCGTTGCAACCTTTGGCCCAACGGCCTTGTCAGGGATTTGGGGAAGGAGGGGTATTGCAGCCAAAAAAGAGTGTTCGCCCATGCCCTGTCCATGCGTAGTCGGTTAGGTTCTAGACATGCTTCATGAAAGGGCTCCCTGTGGCTGTGGCTCTTTGAAGGCTCTGCTGTGCTTCAGGAGCGGTTGGGATGACGTCGGGGACGGCACGCAGGTGACTCGCATAGACAAGAGGGTACTCACTGACCTACTTTACCTTCACTGACGCTACTTCTGCTAGTTTTGCAGTTTGCCTATGTTTGCCTATTCCTTTGAGCACTGCGACCTTGTGAAGGCATTGCCTGCGGCACCTCCTAGCATCCCAATGTCTGCACGGGCCTCAGCAGCGTGCAGTAGTTTCAGTGATGCGCAGAACATGCGCAAAACATTGGCCGTGCACAGTGCACACATGTGCTGTGTTTTGAGGTGCCTCCTGGCGCAGCAGTAGTAGAATTCAAGGCCCCAACTGCGTTCTTTGCTGCGCTCTTTGCTGCGTTCATTCTTTTCATTGACGCGTCCGGTTTTCCTGCGAGGTGGACCAAGGCGTGGTAGGCTCGGCGCCTTGTTCTTTCGCGTCGCTTAAAACAGAAAAGTAGGGCGGCTCGGATGAGCCTGACGTGTGTGAAGCACCGCCCCCACATCGACTTTTTGTGGAGGTTTCTTGATTGGCAAGGGCGGCGAGACCTTGCGAAGCATGGAAGTCAGCAGTACTGCCACGATCAAGATCGACCAAACCTCCAAGGACTTGGTGGTTGAAGGTGAAGAGAAAACTCCGAAAGCTTGCCTTCAGGATATGGGCTACAGCATGGTGCGCATCACTGGCTCGGAGCAGGCGGCTGGAAGCAGAAGTCTAAAACGACTTCAGAGAGATGAACGTGATGAGAAAGTGATGAGAAAGTGATGAGAAAGTGATGAGAAAATGATGAGAAAGTGATGAGAAAGTGAGGAAAGAATTGGTTTGTCCTGCGGCCAGGCCGTGGCTGTGGCCAAGGCTTTGCTCGACGGCCGCATCAACGAGAAGCGGACCGTCACCAGTCGACGCACCGTGACGGGGCACACAGGGGAGGCGACTTTCCCACATGACACCGGCAACGGTGCCGTGGGCCGGGAACTCGACGACCTCGACTGAAGAGTGAAGCTGTCAGAATGGATCAAGAGACCGGTGCTTGCTGCTTGCAGTCATGAGACGTCGTGAGATGTCCCGAGGCTGGGAGACTCAGATCGAGCAGCCCCGCGCCTAAATGGCCATCTTTGATTGAAACAGTGCAAATAGTGCAAACTCTTGAACATTCTCGTGTTTCAGGTCAGCTGTGGGCTTTTTCATCGGCAAGCAGGGTGAGTACATTAAGCGGATACAGGCAAGGCATGCCAGGATCTGCCAAGGATCTGCCCTTTCACCATTTGGGTGCTTTCCCTTGGACGTCTTTGCAGGCGCAGACGGGCGCCACAGTGGCGCTGCGCTCTGTCAGTTTGTTTTCCTTCCGCTGCTTCCGCTGTCTCTTTCTTTCAGAAACGTTAACGCCGGAGGTCATAGACCAAGAGACAAAGGATTACGGGCAAGAGCCTCAAAAAAGCTGAATCCTTAAAGAGGTGGGGAAGTGTGGTATTTTTGAAGCACTTTGAGGTACAGCATGATCCGGATCATGGATGGGCCCGGAGCCGCAGCTGCCGAGCCGAGTGTTTTGTGTGCTTTTGTGTCGTCTTTTCTGTCGTCTCCCCGTGCGTCAGGCCCGGCTTGAGAGAAGCCTCTGAGATGGTCAAGTACAGGCCCAAACGCGAACCTGTCGTTGAAATTCGTGCATGCTTTGAAGGTGCATCGTATACGATGTGCAGTTGGATTTTAGGTCGTCTGCTGCCAGGCTGGAGCAGGTGAAAGAGGCAGCGGTCCAGCGCGCGCCGGCGGGGGAGTACGAGGAGCTCTCGGTCCCGCAAGGCCAGCTCGACGGAGAGAAATAGAGAAGTCTTTGGAAGTGAATTCTTTACTCGAGGCCAAGTGGGTGCGATCATCGGGCGCGGTGGTGAGACCTTGAGGCAGATCAAAGCGGAGAGCGGGGCGATCATCGTGTTGAGCCAGGAAACGAAAGGCCAAGGCTTCAGCACCGTGCGCTTCGCAGGGACCGATGAACAAGTCCTCAAAGCCAAAGACTTGGTTCAGATACGGCTTGCTGAAAGAGAGCAAACCCTCAACCAAAGCTGGAATGGCTATGGAGGAGGAAGCGGAGGCGGAGGCGTTGGAGGCTGGGGAGGCAAAGGTGACTTCGGTCCGCCAATATCTTCAATCAATCCTCCACCACCTCCAAAGGGTCAGGGCAAAGGAGGCGACTGGCTAGGGCCCGGCTTAGGTGATGACTGGGGCTTTGATACTGGGTGTAACTCGAGTTCTGGCCTCGGCAATGACTTGGGTCAGGGCTTCTCAGAGCCTTCCGGTATGCCACCGGCCCTGGGTGCACCGCTGGGTGCACCGGGTATGCAGCCGGGCTTGGGCCCACCGGGCGGCCCGCCAGGACCACCCGGTTTGCAGCTGGGTCCACCTCCCATGCTGGGACAGCCTTTAGGCACACTGAATGCACCGCCTCCTTTAGGGCAGCCTTTAGGGCAACCTTTAGGGCAGCCTCTAGGGCATTCTTTGCAACCAATCCAACAACCCATGCAACTTCAACCATTCCAATCCCCGCCCAACTTTCCACTGCCCCCTCCTCCCCCGCCACTGCAGCCGCTGCAGCCACTGCCAATTCAACAGCAATTGGTGCTTCAGCCTGTTGCGCTACAAGCTCAGCCGCAACTTCATCTCGGTGCTTACCAGATGCCTTAGCCCAAGATTCGAGTTCAGGAGATTTGCAAGCTCATGTACACTCAAACTGAGTCCCTCGCCTGAAGCAATATGAAGGTGAGATTCGCCAGGGAATTCTCCAGTAGGGTCACAGTCGGACATTGAGCTAAGACAAGACCTGAATCAAAAGTTTTCCTGAAAGAGCTTTACGGAGCTGATAACCAATTGAGTTGACAATCCCCACTTAGGCCCGACAGGAGAACAGCAACAACAAAAAAACAACAGCAGCAACATCATCAATAACAACAACAACAGCAACAACAACAACAACGACGACGACAACAACAGTGCTCAGTCACTCAGTCACTCACGCACTCACTCACTCTCACTCTCACTCACTGACTCTCTCACTCTCACTCACTCACTCACTCACTCACTCACTCACCACTCACTCACTCACGACGCTGCGGACGGATCTCGCATGGCGTGTCCTTGACGCTGGTGAAACTGGGACTTGGTACGCTGGTCTTGTGCATGGGAGCCAAAAACTGCTGTGAGGCCTGAGTGATTCAAGGCTATAAGCCAGGTCACAACACATTTGGGAGGTGAGCCCTCTCCTTGATTTTGAGTTGTTTTGAAATCACACTGAGTGGTGCATGGACCTCAGGATTGGCATTGGGCTCCGTCCCTCAAATGATGCTGCAGTCACAAAAAGTGACTGGCCTGGCAAGTGCATTGCTAGCACAGATGCTTTTGATCAGGAGGAGAGCCGTTCTCTGATTCGGTTGGCATCAGGAGGGGTAGCCCTGCTCTGATGGCTTGCAGGATGCGTTGAGATGTGCTGACACGGCCTGCTTTTGCCTCTGCCTGAAGAAGGTTTGGCATGCTGACTGCTGGCGCTCTTTCACAGACCCAAGTACATTTGGGCGTGGAATGGCCAAGCTTCCGCGCCTAAGCGCAGCGCCCGTAGGCGCATCGCCCCTTAGGGCTGCATGCACCTGTTTTGCAAGATGACGCGGTTGCGGTTCCCCGCACCCCCAGAAGGCCCGTCGCAAAGATGGGTAAAGGCTGGGGCAAGCCCAGCAAGAAAGGCCACAAAGGTGGCAAGAAGGGCCACTCCGGTGGTCAGAAGGGCCGCAAGGGCGGCAAAGAAGAAAGCCAGGTGGACAGGCCGAATCCACCTCCAAAGGCAAAGGCCAAGGCGAAAGCCAAAAGAAGACCCAACAAGACAAAGAGGAGAGGAGGAAGGTCCAACAAAGGCCTTCTTGAAAGAAGCCAGGCAGGCTTTCAGAACGCCAGTAAAAAGCTGGTGAGGAGGACAGCCTCTCCGAAGCCCACAGCAACTGGGTCAAAGGCAAAGCCCAAGAAAAGGGCGAGTTTGTCCTTCAGTGAAAGGGTAGAGAGGAAGAAGGCTCTACTGCCGCACAAGCCCAGAGGCAGTGTTGGGGAGCATATCGTTCGCGCCTTCAACGAGGCGTGTTCGACTTGCGACGAGCGAGCAAAGGACCAGAGACTCTACACGCTGGCCTTTGCTACCCAGAGCCTCATCCGCCGACGCTGTGCCTTGAAGGCCAAGAAGGAGAAGAAGGAAAAGAAAGTGAAGAAAGCAAAGAAAAGAAAGCGCAAGGTCCTGCTCACCGAGGACGAGGCGGACGACGAAGGAGCTGCAGACGAGACAGAGTCGGAGGACCCTGGCCACAAGCCCCTAGGCAGAGATGGAGGCTTTGGTGACGGAGCTTCGGGTCAGCTGCAGCAGTCTGCTGAGGCCATGCAGACCATGCAAGGGCAGCTAGCACAACAACAGCAGCAGATACAGAGCCTGTCGAACCAACAACAACAGGCGCAACAACAACAGCAGCAGCAGACACAATCCGCTAGCAGCTCCAGCGCTGTTGGTGGAGTCTTCGGACTGCTACCTCTGGTAGACACCAGAGGCCTCGGCAAGCCGGAGGTGTTCCGCGGCGAGGCGGCAAACTTCAACGATTGGAACTTTGTATTGCGCTCCTATTTAGGAGCTCTGGATAAACGATTCCAGACTTTACTTTCAAGGTCCGAAAGTTCCGAACTGCCGTTGTGGAACAGAACGCTCTCCCCGGAAGAGCAAGGCTTATCCACACAACTGTATTACATCCTTGTAATGCTGTGCAGGGAGCGGGCGTTGGATAAACTGCATAACTCTGGGGAGAATGAGGGCCTGGAGGCGTACAGACAACTTTACCTGGAATACAATCCAAGGCTGAAGACAAGGTACGTTGGCCTTCTGCTGGAAATCCTTCGCTACAAGTTTGAAGGTGACCTGGTTACTTGCATCGAAGCCTTTGAGAGAAAGGTGCGCGAGTACGAGAAGCAATCGGGCAAGGATATCGATGATGAAACAATCATTGGTATCGTCATCCTGGGTGTGACGGACGCGAGCGTCAAGGAGCACCTCGTGAGGCACTCTGGAAGATTGGACAGTTGGTCCAAGATGAGGGAGGAGATCCTGGAAATCGCCCGGACCGAGAAGTACTGGAAAAGCACCCCGACGCCGATGGATATTGGCGCAACTCCTCAGGGAGGCAAGAAAGGCAAAGAGGGCGAGGGCAAAAGAAAGGACGGCGAAGGAAAGGAAGGAAAAGGAAAGAAAGGCGAGAAAGGAGGTGGTCAGCAGAGTGGTGCCCTGTTTGCAGGTGTAGCTAACTCCAGGTGATGTTTATTCCAATGCCTTGCCATTGGAAGGCATGAAGTTTTGTGGTCATCCTGATGTCATGGTAGTCAGTGACACTGAGCCAGC